CAATGGCACAACGCCATGATGTTTTCGTCCAATTCAACCCTTGAGCCCTCATCTACCGGAGTTGAGGAAGGGTATTGCTTCCTCAATCGACGCCGTTTGTGGCCAGGCACGGCCGACGGCGACGGCCGGGGTGATGGAGTGTGGCCGGGGTTACGGTCAGAGGCCGATTGGCCGGCTTGGCGAGAATTGGGCGATGGGGTAGCCGAATCGGAATCCGAGACAATCATGGCGGCGATAGAAGGAACTGACCTGGACAGGAAGAAGAACGAGTCGGGTGAGCAGCGGAGTTGCAGACGAACGGTAGTGAAGAAGGCGAAAGGAAGAGATGGCGTCCAGCGGCGGTTTTTAACTGACAACAGGGAGGCGAATCGGCAGGCCATGATTACTTATTTGTTGAAATCGTGCCCAAGTGTCGTGCGGAATCCAAGGAACGGCCCGGATCCCCGCTGGAGCGTCCACGTGGACTTTGCAAACTCCCCACTCCTCCGCTTGGCCCAGCTGAGGACTGAGGAGTTGGGGGGCTTATGATGGGCCGATATCAGGAGGACGGCCCAAATGAACCATTTAAGCAGCTTCGGGTCAAGCACCTGTGGAATACTCAAGCTGGGCCGGCCCAAGGAGCTGGGCCTAGTTAACCTCAGGCCAAGCGCAGCTGGTAGAGCCAATCCGGAGAAGGAGACGGAGCTGATTGGCTGTTACGGAGCCGGGAAAAGGGGATCGCGCCCTTGGCGGGATAGACTCCATCGGTTATGCATTACCTTAATTGTTGAGAGCTCATGTATAAATAGAGGGGACCCGAAAGGGGAGAACTCAGGCTAAATCAAGCTAGTAATACACATCCAATTCTCGAATTCTTGTTCTTAATTTTATTCTTGCGATCCGCTCTGTAAATCGGATCATTTGGTGGATTTATTGTCTATCAGTAAGATAGACTGGTACTGGATTTAAACTTTTTTATTTCTCTAAATAGGACTTAATAATGACCTAGTGGAAAGAATAATGTCCTGTAATCATGAACATTTAGTTGAATAATGACTACTTGATAATGACCAAAGGTCCTATATTTGGAAATAAAAATATATGGTCCTATATTGAAAAAGTCATTATGTTTTAGTCCTATTTAGGTAAATTTTACAATTAAAATAAACTTGGGTAATATTTGGGAGCTAATATTTCATTTCAATGTATGTATTTGAATTTCAAAATATAAAATTTTAAATTTCAAATACAAGAGGATATATTTAAATTTCAATTTGAGCTTTGTTATGAATTAGAATAATATGACTCAAATCTAAATTTAAATTTTTTAAATTTTCCAAACATAGAATCTGAGTCAAATTTTAATTTTAAATCTAAGTTTTCAAACATACCATTACGTTATTTGAAATAGGAGGAACAATAATTTTTTTGGTTAGAAAGATTAATTTTTAACTTTTCGATTTTCTTGAATTTGAACCTTGCACTTAAAACTTAATCTTTTTAAATTGAGGATGAGTTTAAACTCGTGACTACTTTGTGGTAAATAATCCAATATCATATCAAGTAACCAACTAAACTAAAAGTTCAAACTTATGATTAGAGCCTTTGAATTTTTTTTCTAACATTTTATTGATCATAAAAAAGGGAGTTGTGATATGTTTTATATATAGTTTGAGCTTCAGTTTTGTTAGGAGATCTACTGATCATGTTGTTCATCTTGAGGTTATCAAATTGGTTCTATGTTTAATCCAGTATAATGACATATTATTCCACTTCTTTTTATCCATTATTTCTACCGAAAGGATGAATTTATCTTTTACTGTAAAAAATAAGATAAAAAGGACTAATCATATATATATATATATCCTTTATATAAAAAGGAAGGTTGGGTCTCTAAGAACTTGACATGTGGCATGCTTATGTGGCCATTTTTAAACACTTAACACGCCACCTAATCTCTCTTATGAAATTAAAAGTTGGATAAAAAATATTTGAGTAAACTTAAAAATGAAAAAAAAGTCTTTCTTTTTATGATAATATGTTGTATACTTTTTTTTCTCTTTATTTATTACAAAACATCTTAATAAGAAAAAATATACTCTCTTCACCTATAAATATATTTCATATTTCTTTATGTTACATCTAAATAAATGAAGTTAGTTTGATAATATTTATTAAAATATTAACACCTAATAAATAAAATATTTCGTCACCTATAAACAAATTTGCATTTGTTTTGACACCTAATATTCCACCTAATTTAGAACGTATAAAATGTGAACTTTTTGTTATGGTGTGAGATCTTTGAATACATTTAATTATGAAATAGGAAAATTTATTTTTTATAATAGTATCCGTTCCCAATTTAATCTTATTTTTACACTCTTCATTTATAATTACACTTTTAATTAATTTTAAAACTACATTAAAGTGTATTTTCTTAAAAATCACATTAAAAATTTAAAAACAAGAGATGATTGATCTATAATTGTGTTAAATTAGAAAAATATATTATACAAAACTCCATAGTTAAAATACATTTTTTCTGATTTGATTCATCACTAGAGAAATTGTGTTTATAGTCCTTAGATGATTTATTATATAAATTAAAAAATATATTATGTTTAATTATCTTCTATTATATAATAAAATTGATCAAAAAACTGTGTCACTGTGAAATGCTATGTTTAAGCTAACTTTCTTTAGAATTTCAACATTATTGACTGAATGTAATCTTTATATATATAATTTGGGGGTTGAGATTTTAGAATGACGACATTTGGCATGCTGATCGAATATTTTTTAAACACCTCAAGAGCCATGTCATCATTGACTTCTATATATTTTTTATGCATTACCTTTAAGGCTAATTTTTTTAGGGATGACCTTTACTTCTTCGTGCAAGATCAGATTTTCTCTGTTTCTTCTTCTGCAAAATTGATTAGAAGAATTTATGATATTAATTGTTACAAATGTATGTGTTATGTTTAAAAAAATGTTCTTAGATACTAATTGCTATATTCTTGGTTAAAAATTAAGTATTATATTTTGATACATGCTCTATTTATAAAAAATACATATAATTTGAAAACTACTCTATATCTAAGTTATTTATTGTTAAAAGATAGAAAACTGTTTAATATTGTGTGCTTAAAGATAATATTACGAATATGTAAAGGCAAATGAGTTATACATGGCCTCTAATGCCTTTTTAAAAATAAGACATGCCTTATATATATAAAAATGCAGAAAAAATTATCATCTTAGAACTTAACATTAATTTTTACATACTTTTGTACTCTTGGAAAAAATCACTAGCAATTGGAGTTTGCAAAAAAATAAACAAACATTAAATTCATTTTCTAAACAAAAAGAAATATGTAGGTGGAAATTATTTGAAAGAGATGAATAAATGATATTCAAATACGGAGTACTATTTTCCTAAAAAAAATGTAACCCCAATTTTTTAATATTTCTTAAAAAATAAAATATATACTGCATATATTAAAAGATAAAAATTATAAATTGATAAAAAATGCATTTTTATTATATAACAAATGTCTTATAAATATTAGAATGAAAAAATAAAACTCACTAACAATTTGACTACACTAAAAATACAAAAATGCCGATTAAATTGATGTAAGAAATTGATGCCGATTAAATTTATGGCCTTTAGGCTATTAATGAATAAAAGGTTTAAAAATGTCTAATATATGTGTTTATACCATGAAGGTTAAAAGACAAAAAAATTATATATGATCCCCATTGTAATGTTTATTGCATAGCACATGGCTTATTTATATTAAAAGGGAAATAAATGATAAAAAGCATTCATACACACCTCAAATTTTAGCTTTTTTGAGGTTAACATTGTTTTTCAAATACTTTTACACTATTGAAATAATCCACTAGCAACTTGACTTCACCAAAAAATAAACGATTGTAAAACGATGTAAAAAAATAGCTGATATTTATTTGAAACGGAAAAATAAATCATATCCAAACTTTGGCGGAAAATAAAAATGCTGTATGATTTTCTTATGCATAGAATAATGTACTATTGATATAGAATCATATGTAATTAAATGTTATAGAATTATATAGAACTAAATGTTATAGAATCGTATACATTAAATGTTACGGAGTATATTTTTTTTCTATGTATTTTTTTTAATATATCATATGTTATTTATGAATACAACATGTAATTTTTAACCAAGAATATAGCTAGACTTTGGTGGAACATGTTAAGTTTGATAAGATTATGTAAGGATCTAAACAAATGCACAGATGTATGAACAAACGATTGATTATTCTATTTGATGATTGTAATTCCTGATTCTTCTGATATTGTACATTACCAGAAACAGTTTAAAAAAATTGTGCACAAAAAATTTGATATGAGAAAAATAGTTGGTGATTTAACTGGTTTAAGTGGTCAATGCATCAGGAAGGGTTGTTCTAGCTCCAAGTACTTTGCCTCCAACATCTGGGAAGTTGTCATATCCTGGCAGAGGGCTTAATTTTCCATCGCAATCTACTTCCACAGGGTACTTGAGAAGATGACCCTGTAACGGGGCAAACTTCGCAGCTGTGTATCTCTCCCAGTTATCTCGTGCAATCTTGTTGACAAAGGTAACACACCCTAACTTTGCAGGCTCGTTGAATATAGGGTCTATCATCCCCATGTGCTCTGCCCAGAGTGACATTCTGTAACCATAAACCTGTTCATTTTATAAGTTAGATCAAACACGGCATCATGTTTTAGTTGTTTTATGTTCATGAAATGGATGAGGGAGTGACAAAACAATATGATGTTGGTAACGAAAGGGGGGCAAGCAGGTCCTTCGTACTAAGGTATTGTTCTTCCCTTTTTTAGCTCTGCCCTTCTCAGACGCTACGTTCTTCAGTTCTTGTATATCACACTTTATAATTTATATAGCACATGGTTTATGTTGCACAACAAATGGAAAGAAAAAATGGTAGAAAATGTAGGGAATATCTTGATGCTTTTACTGTGGAGTTTGAGGGCTCAGGCCGCCCAGCAAATGTAACTCTAGTTGTCTTGTAAAACTGTGACTGGATTTGCTCACTGACCTGGCCATGGGGATGTGTTTGCTTGCTTGCCCATGTGTGATAGGGCTGATATGCACCCATGACAATCTCCGTGTCTCTCGAACCAGCCATTGATCGTTGGTTGATGTTAGCAGAGCCCAAGATGATATACTCATCGTCGACAATCATTCCCTTGGCGTGCACATAGATCATGAACCTCCCGGATTTCTGAGAAGCCGTAATCTGAGTGCAATTTCATAAAATGCAGTACCATTAGATAATTTGAGCAAAACAAAGATTCAATTTATTACGTAGTAATATAAGATGCTGAATGTGAAAGGCCATTACAACAACATCGCTGTTTCCAGAATGCTGAGAGGACAAACATGATGTTTCTTCATTACATTTTTCACGTTTGCCCAGACAGTAGAAATTTAGATAGTCACATGGATGTGAGCCCTCTAGGTTTTCAGATTTCAGTTCCCTAGCAATCAGTTCATACATCATTTGCATCGTTTGGCCCTGCAAGAGTAGGAGATTTTTTCTTCACAATCTATATAGAAGATTGTTTCTTGGGGCCTTACACTGATGTAACGATATGAATCTAATTTAAAGTAGATAATGTTGGAACAAAGTTTTATGTTAGATGAATCATTAATAAGAAACTCTTTGGTTATACATACGAGTAATTTTTTTTATCAAGCTTCAAGTTTTTTCAAGGTAACTACTAGTATCATGAAACACCTGCCAATAAAGGATTTCTTGAACAGGAGCAGAATTGGGAACACCTTCGGGCCACATCGGGATTACAATATAGACTGTGAATCTCTCTTTATTCCGAATTTTACTTGCAATTTTAAGTGCAAGCTCCATTGGGATCAAGTTATCCGCACCTAAGACAGGTCCATTCATTGTATATGGTAAGACAAGTTCATGGGACAAACTCACAGAAGTAGTTCTTCAATAATCACACATTGAAAAGTAAATTTCAATTTTCCTAAACCATAAGGGAAGGATAGATAAGATGCTAGCAAGTCCTAAAACCTGAATCCTTGTAAGAAGGCCAAGCAAATGATGATCCGAGGAAATACTGATTTTCAATGTAAACAAAATGCTGGGCTCGTCTTATTGCTTGGATGTATGCCATTTGGATGCTCCTATCAATAACTAAATCTTTTGCGCAAACTAGATTCTGTAACAATAGAAAAGGCGATATTTACTGGCCTTAAAGCTATCATGCGAAACAGAGTATGAGGAAGAGACATAAAGATTATTTTTTTGAACATAGTATAATATGCAACAATCGTGCACCTGTGAATTGGCGGTTTGAACATCTTTAGGGAACCCTTTCAAAGATCCTGAGTCTATGGATCTGAAAACCTGTCAAATGTTAAACATATAACACAAAATCAATAAGACTTGTACTAAAACTAAGCTTTTACTAAGACTATTTTATTATAACATGCAGGAACATACTAGTTACTCCTGCACATGCCAACAGTGAGTGTTTTCCTTCATTGTGGAGTAACTAGTACTTTCCTGCTTGCCAATTTTCTGGATGATCATCCTTCATTGTACTATTATGCGGAATATGGAAAGTAATTTGCTAAAGAGATGTGTAATTTCGTATAAGAAAATACAGAGTAGTCAACATTAAAAAAATAGAGGAATTTACTTAAATAGCACTAAAACATAATGACTTTCCCTAAATAGCACCACATGTGTGTTTCTTCCCAATGTAGCACTTTTAGTCATTATGCATTAGTCATTATTCAAGTAAATATTCGCCATCACTGGACATTATGGACATTATTAAGTGCTATTTAGGAAATAAAACAATTTAAATGCTATTTAGAGAAATGGCTTAAGTTTTAGTGCTATTTAGTGCAAATATTTCAAAAGGATATTCAAAAAGAAAAGCGTCGTTATATACCCGACCTGAACATGCCAATTTTCTGGATCTTCCTCACTGGTAATCCACAATGAAGGATCATCATTTGGAACAGAAGAAGAAGGACTAGTTATCCATGAGATCCGCTCTATTTTTAATAATGCATCATCATGCCAGTGAGATATCTTCTTAAAACGCCTCCCTAACTCTGCCCATTTGGAGGCTTTTCTCCATCGCTGCTCAAAGTTTGTGAGAACGTCGTATGCAGCAGGCCCTTCAATCTTGCAATGCAGGTCATGCCATGGCTGTCTTGGTCCCTTTACTCCCCCTTCCTATCAGAGTTTTATCTTGTCGACATCAAATCGAAAAACATATTTGAAGGGTAGATCCAATAATGGCTTCAAATTTTGTAAACAAAAAAAAAAAGAATGGGGGCAGACAAGCCAAATCATCTTAGATTTTGGATTATTGGAAGAGGGGCTTACTGGGAATGTAGGATTGTGGTAGTCACCCTTGAAAACTGTGTCAAGGTCAGAAAATAATCTGTGCTGGGGGGTATCGTATCGTCCATCACATAGGTCTAGACCTCCAATAAAAGCTGTTATTTTCCTATTGTTTCCTTGTGATTGTGCATCAACAATTACACACTTCTGATGGTGTGTATAAAGTGTTCCTACCACCTGGTTGTTAAGCATGTAGGTAGAGAAGCAATGAGCTAAAATAAAGAACGATCTTATTAGCTTGTGGTTTGTTGGCATCAACGTGACAATGCCTAGTAAAAACATATCTGTGGTCAAATTTTATCACAGTTGACTAAAAAAATTGCAGCAGCAGCAGCAGCAGGACAGAAGAAGTATAGAATGGGGAGAGCCCTGCCTGTTGCTTGAATATGCTGAGTTTATTACTTGGATAACGAGGTGCGAGCACGCACGTAACAGATGAATGCTTGAAAAATTTCCGAGTTTCTTCGTCGTGTGTCCCCATTAATCCAGTCTACAGTATATAATAATTACCATTAGCAGCTAGCACACATTTAGGTTTTGTTAACCTAATTCATTCATTCATAAATCATAAACAAAGGCGCAATAATAAACAATAGTTATAGGAATTGAAGCGGATGAAAAATTACTGTAATACATTCATATCAATACCGTGTTGATGAAGAACTTGCTGTGAGAAGTCTTGTCATCCCAAACCAAAAGGAGCACCCTAACTCCTTCCTGGGACTTGTACTTGAGCAGCTCTCCGAGGTTCAAATTCCCTCCGTTAGGCAGCGGCCTCGTGGGCTCCCTCACAAGCCTCACCTTGTGATAAATGGACCACCCAACTATGTAAACCAAGTGATGCGCTTCGAGAATGGAATGGCAAATGTCTTCCCAACAGTTTTCGTGTCGAAAAGGCTTTTCCTCTTCCAGAACGATCTCCGGCACCAAGCCGGCCGTGTGTGCATCCTGGTAAAGCGTCACTGCACCTCCGTGCCTCACCGGGAAGTAGCTCTCTTTCAATCCATAGTTTTCGAGAATGCCGTTGTGGTAAAGGGGGTTTTGGTGGAATGGGGTGAATTTCATCCATAGCCGGATGGCGGTGTTGGGCTTTGGAGGTTTCCCGCAAGCCCCGTTGATTGGGAACCAATCTTCAATGACCTCCCCCGACACGACCTTCCGGGCCGAGACTTTTGCCACGCCTATGAAATCCGCCCCGAACACGTCGTTGTCCTTCACCTGGAATTCGACTTCGTAGACAGGGTGAGCCAGAGGGATCATCTTGAAGTGCTCGTCCCAGATGGGGTCCTGAGAATTCGGGATCACTCGAGTGCGCGCCACCGTGGCGCCGGCGAGGCACACTTTGACGTAAGGGTCGCTGGTGATTATCTTAGCATGGCGATGTGTCGTCATCCTTCCTGGTTTCCGGCAGTCCAGAGCCGTTAAAAATCTACGGATGCGCTCCGAAATTAAATCCATATTTGGCAACCCTCGAGCCTCGATAATCTTCAACTCCAGATCCCCATGGAGGTAGACGATATTGTTATTATCAGAATTTTCATCTGATGACATTTTCGTTGACAAGTTACATTCGACCACGTAGATGAGTGAGATTTTGCATGCACAATGAATTTATTCTTTGATCGGTGACTGAAACTGGATGCTATGATGCGGCAGTTGGCAGAGGACGGAGGAGGAGGAGGAGGAGATGGGGAATGTCTTTCTCCGCCACAGCCAACAGCCGGTGGTGCGCCGGTGTATCTAATACTCCGTATCCAAATTTTATCGATCGAACTACTATTCTATCACCACAAACATCACATAATTTGTTACATTCCCTTGTGTTAAAATATTTAAGTTTTTACATAATCTAATCGTCTCAATTTAATTAAGGTGTTCCCATTTAAGTTCCTGTTCAATGAATTTATACTCTCTCCGTTTTTCAATTTATTTTGCAGGGTAGAACGAAATTTATGTTGATTTTAAAAAAAATTCATTGTAACATCTTTTCGGAATATAGAAAATATACTTCTTACGTGATTTTTAATAATATGGACAAAAATTTCAAAATAGAATAAGTAATATTTGAAGAATTGAATTTGTACTCAACAAAGTTTGTTTTAATATCCAATTTTCTAAAAATGTTCAGGGTATACAACATTTATGGTATGATTTCCAGGGTTTCCATTTTAACTAGAACCAATATTTTTAGTCATGTATTTATCTTCACTTGTGAAACAGTAGCATAAAGCTGAACATGAGTGAACACCGACGTAGTTAAAAATAAACCAACAAATGACAATGTTTGACCTTAACTTTTGTTGATAGTCATTGCAAAACATAAGATTATTGAAAATTGCCTTCTCTATAACTTCAAAGGTAGTCCTAGATCAGAAGGTTCAAAATTCATCTAGGTATGTAAACTTTTCCCCCGAGTCAATTTCCCGAAATGACAATAACACTGATAACGTTCTTTCACAGTTTTTCAACTATTAATCTTGAATCATTACACAATCTAAGTGTTTGGTCAATGATCCCCAATAATATAATTTGTAACACCTTAGTTCGTCCAGGTCTTCAGCCCCTTTTACACTAAAGTATAAACTTGGAAATCATAAAATTTAAAACATTTCAAACATCTTTATTTATCATAAATAATATTCAATACATAAACTGTAGTAATACAGAGTGTTTAATAATGCGTAAGCGAATTAAAATATGTCACAATTAATTATTTCAAGACTTTTGAAATCATAACTCAAATTAATGTCACATCCATCTTGACAATCCCGTCTCATCTGCCACCAGGAATTCATCTCTTCATTCTTTTTTTACCTGCGTGTAGCAAATAAAACATACTACACGCTCAGTGGTGAAGCTGAGTAAAGATATTTAATGCATTGAACATCCACATAAACTGAATCTCAATTCATAATCAAATCATTTGATATCAGGCACATAATATTCAAGCATTCATCATACATGATATTCACAATATTTTAATTCGAGTCATTTCATGATATATACAATATTCAATATTCTGTATTTCAACAATGCTCTTAAATTATTCTTAATCTAAGACCAAATCATTTTGATAACAAAGATGTAATACCCCAATCCGTCCAGGTCTGCAACCCCTTTCGGACTAAAGTATTAACTTGGTAGTCGTAAAAATTTAAAACATTTCAAACACTTTTATTTATCACAATAATATTTTTCATAACATAACAATACGGAGTATTCAATAATATTGCGGAAGTGAATTTAAATAGTGTTATATCACAATAAATTAATTCAGACTTGTCACATCCATCCCGACCATCTCGCCCATCTGCTGCCAGGATCATATCACATCATTCTTGTTGGAGTTGGTGCCCTTATGGCCAACTGCTGTTATAATATCTTAGATATTTTCTTAGATATCATGTAAAGGCAAATGTAATAAGTTTACAAACATATCATGCTAATGTAATCTCTTAATTGCATTCCTAGAATTATATTATAAGATGTTTAATAGAATGAGTCTTCTGATGTTGAGACTGACATCTTGTCACTTAGTATAATCTAAACGGTCTATAGTAAAAGCATTAACGAGAGTGGGATATCGTTAGTGCGTGTGAGACTAGTGAGAGTTAGATGTTTGACCTAGTCTCTTGGTCAATGACGGAGTGTTTGCATCTACTCTCGAGCAAATATTATCGTTAATAATAAGATGCTTAGTCTATGCTCTAAGTGTCCTTAATGCGACTATTAGTGTAACAATCCTTAGACTTAAAGTATTACGTTCTTCGAATGCGTGAACCCGTATGCTTTGATTCATTGTCCTAAGCCGTATGAAACAAGGATTGTACACAGGCTTTGCATTGGGCATGCCGTTGCGCGTATTCGAAGACGTAGATTACGTACAAAGAATTTGTCACTGCTACATTAGTAGAATAATGTCTTGACGAGGCCCACTGATAAGGGTATGACTGAGAAAATGCATGGCCATGCCGATATGAGTTTAGACATCTATTCTCATCGGTCAGACTTGTTAATCATTAAATAACTTAATGGCTACAAGTTGGCTATATCCCTTGCACTAAGTTAAGACATTGGGATAAAAGGATCTACGTTATACAAAGTCTTAGTCGTAGAAAGGTTTTGACAGAGCAAATGTTTGAACTTATAATCTAGGGGTAATAATGTGTTGCTAGATACCGTTTAATACTTATAGTATTGGTGTAGAGTCTATACTGTGGCCAATTTTATAAGTGCCTATATGGGTCACACACTTTGGAGAATTTAAAGAGTAGGATTATAAGAAAGGATAAATTTGTGTATTGTAAAATAGTAAAATAAAATGTTTTCATATAATATGTTTATATATATTATGTACGAATATATATATATATATATAAAATATATATATATATATATATATATATATATATATATATATTATCATTAAATATTTTTTTATTAAAATAAGATAAAAAAACAAAGTACAAAGGGGGGGCCCAATTGGCCCCACCAACCTAAAAAGTACAATAAAAACCAATAAGTACAAAAATCATAAATCGGGAGACCCAAAAGCTAAAGTCCATATGAGTCGAGCTGGCTGCCTGTTCTTGATGTAGTGATAGCAACTTAGATCATGTCCAGAATGGCCAAAATTCTGCGTAGCAGAGAGATACGCCAAGCAGTAGGACCATCTACCCATCAGGAGGTCAATCCAATAAAGCCAACAGTGTGAAGTTAACGGGCTAAAATCCAGCGGAAAGAGAGCCAACCATACACAAAAGATGAAAAGTGATAATGCAGAAATGAAGGGAGACCCGAAATCAGAAGCGGAAGAATTATGAAAACCAAAACATTTTGTGGAACCAGCAATGAACCACTCAACCAATTAAGGAGTTTCAAAGACCCAAATGAAATTGAAGATATGCAAAAGGTGACCTCGCTCTAATTATGTGTAACCATCCACTGTGTGAACTCGAAGAACCAAGCTAATGATTATCCAAGTGCTAGAAACCAAATGTTTAGAAGTCATGTAAAAAAGCCCCACAGCAAGAGTGTATAACTCTCGAGTCATCATTTGCGTAAACTAAGTAAACCGGGAAATTGGTACCTTGAATCTTAACTAAGTCTACAGCCTCAATACTTTTTGATAATTGCCTTGTCATCCTGAAGGCCTTGCCCTTTCCATTTTTTAAAATTCCCGTCTGCAACTTGTCACGCACCATGGAGATGGTCATAGCCTCCTTAAGATAACAATAAGACTCCTTAAACAAAGACTCAAAGTGGTCTGAGAACAGGGGCTCCAAAAGTTTGAACTCCTCATCAAAATCTCCCTTACAACATATATCTAAATGTGTGCTTCTTTTGTAAAAATCAGAGATATCCATTTGGACCAGAAGCCCTGGTACTGAAGTGTTCGAATCCTGCATTTCAGTCTTGCATAAAATATCATCCAATAAGGGGTCTTGCCATAATGGTAACGTAGAAGAGGAAACTTCACCCGATCCTACGGGGGTAAAGTGCAAAGGACCATCACTCCTGCAAGGCTGTGAGCCTAATGCCTTCCTCTCTTCTATATGAACAGCAGCTGGTGGAGGGGGTATTTGACCAACTTGTGCATTGCTATTGTCAAGGGAATAAGAAAGTCCCTTTATGAAAAGCTTCAAAGAGTTCACTCCTATTTCCTGCTCCTAAAGGGACACAAATGGTGGATCTAGTTCCCTCAAAAACCGTTAAAATCTTCACAAAATCACCAAAATAATTTGAGTTCCAACTGATAGATACCAAATTTGTCCCTTCGAATCTAGTACTTGCCCACTCATATGAGACAAAAATATAACTCTCTAGAGATTCAATTAACCATAGGGCCAAAGTGGTAGAAATAGAGATGGTACGTATAAAACCATTCTTAAGCTCAGAGATGTTGACAGAGTCTGAGAGATGAAAGTCATACCGTTTACTTTCAATAAGGATATGGACCTGCGTAAGGAAGGAGTTGATCTACTCCTCTGGAATTCTGCTTGAAAAACCGGGGTATACCGTCTCTATGATTCCGCCAGTGACCGAACACCTCCTCATCGCCTCTGTGTCGCCGTCCATAGGGACGCCTGCCTCTAAATTGGTGGAAATCCCTTCTGAGATTTCCGGTCCTAGTGTATTTGTGGCGTTGATGACGAAGAGCATCTCGGTTTGCCGGATAGGAATGATATCCCTGCTGAAATCGGCGATAATGGGACCTGTTGACCGGAGATCTACCTCTATCCCTCTCTCTACCTTCCATCCCTTTTTTCTGTGTGTGTGTGTGTATATATCCCCCTTATATTATAAGAGCCTATGAAGTTTGCTGCCGTTAGTATAGCCTTTTTTCCGTCCCTCCAATACGGACAACAACATCTCCACCTCTCCCTAAAATTTCTTTTTCCGTCCCTACCTCTGCCTTTTTCCGTCTCGCACTTTCTTCACCGTCATCCGCTTCTGATTTATGCCTTCTTCACCGCCACCGCCTTCACCGTCAACCGCCCACGACAATACCCTCCCACTACCGTCACAGTGATACTTCAGCGCTAATTTCCGCCAATTTTTTTTGAATATCTGCTGCGATTCATCCAGGTAATTCTTCTCTCGTCTTCTCCTTTTGCGTCTCCTTTCTCATATTTTCTTCTCCGTTTTTTTTCTAAGAAAAAAGTCACACCTTTGTAAACCACCATGTCTCTGCTGCTTGATTTCTTTTTTACACTCAAATATCTTGTAAAATTAGGATTTGTTCTTGCATCTAGGAATTGATAACCACTCTAATTGGAAGTGTTAAGTTCTGTGTATATGTCTCGCCTATTTTCTTATGTTCAGATGTTCAGTTTATAAACCTATATGCATGCAAAAGGTTTGCATTTAGCAATTGATTGAGGTCGATTTTGAATTTGTTCACATGCTCAATATTTGAACTTGTGTGCAGGCAATGTACTGTGCTTTGACTTTGGTATGTCTCTGTTGCTTAATTTCTATTCAAGAAGAATTAGAGCTTTAGGAAAACAGAATATCTCTCTTTCTTTTTCCCCGACAAGCCTTAGGAATACAAAAAACAACAAATTTCAATATGCAAAGGACACATAAGGTGCAAATTTTAAAAATTTATACTAATTGAACATCTTAAAACCTAGATTTTTTTTTCTAAAATGCAAGATTACAATAAAATTGAGATCAATTTGTCTAAACAAAATAGAGATCAACCTTTGAAAACGCACTAATGCCTGAAGCTTTTACTTCTCACACATGTTCAATACAAGGGTTGAGAAGGATAAAAATCAACAAGTTGAAATAAAATTCAAGACATAATATATTGATTAGTAAAATCTCTACAATAGAATATTTTTTTAAAATATATTTAGCAATTTTTGGACATCTAAATCCAGAAAAGTTCTCAAAGAACCAGAAGGAGAAAGAATATATTTTTAGACATATAATGTTAGGTTTTGGCCCATGAACTTCAAGTTCTCAAACTTCTGAACAATATATATGCTACCATGAACTTCTTATACTTTATATGCTACCAACATATGTTTTACCTAGAAATCTGTTCTCTTCCAAGACATAGAAGGAAATTTAAAAAAAAAGTATAATCAAATAAGACATACACTTTCAAGTTCAAGGTATACACATTTTTTTAAAAAGCTGTGTATCTGATTTTTTAACAATGTCATTTGTTGTTCCGTAAGTAAAGTTTTGGTTGATTTAAAAAAGGGTAACAATATTGTAAAGCAAAACTTTGAGACACTGTAGTACATTGAAGTCAGTTGATATTCATTTGCAGGAGCACTCCATCTCAAGACATAAAAGAAAACATGTTAGAAAATTATAAACGAAATGCGTATCTTACCAGAGGCAAATGTATACGTAGTTATGTACTTACTACAAATCTGCAACATGAACCAAAAGCGTTAAAACGACTTATATAGACAAGGTTAGCTATACTTTGCATAGAGAGACGCACGTGCTTCCTTTTGTACTTCACTTAAGTTTATATATGCTTGATTATAATAGATTGATTATTCTGTTATTTGATATGATTCTCTTAGATGTCAGTTTCCATGATATAATTTGTAGTCTTCACATTTCATATAAATCAAATTTTACACTTTGTTTTCAAAGCATGAATTTAGATTACTCTAGCTAAAAAATTACACCTCTAATTTCTGATTATTTTTTACTGGTTTACAAACGACAGAATAGACTACGTTTTCATTTGTTACGTAGAATTGGTACATATCAAACACTTTCATCTGGTTTTATATTATTTTGTTCCATTTTTAGCATGTTTACTGAGTCACCCATTTAGTATGTTTATTGCATTGCTTTGTATGTACTTAAATCATAATTGTGCCAAAACAACCAACAACATCAATTTCAACATTAAAAATTTACTACTCCAAATTGTCTTGGGGAGAAACTGCTTTTTTTTATATCTAAATTTTTACATTTAACACAACAAAATCCCAAACACAGAGAAATAAAAGATGGGAGGCAACGAAGAATTTGAAATAGGATAAATTGAACCACAACATTTTCTTTTACCTGAACTTGAAGTTGATTTATTTATTTTCCCTAACCAATTGAAGTTATTTTACTACTTCGCACTTTAATGTTGTTCTATTTTGCCTAAAGATAAAACACTACTTCTGTTATGAATTCTTTTTAGTTTGACTAAGTCTTAGATCAACATTATTCTTTGTATATTATCTTCCTTCCTTCCGGCAAAACTTCCGGCGAGTATTTCTCCCAACTCCGGCGACTTCACACCAAATTGACAGCACCACAACACTCCTCACACTTTCATGAACACTTAGGAAGAAGAATGAAGAAAAATGGTGAAGAAATGAGAAGGTTGGGTTCTCTTATATAATGAGAAGGAGAGAAGAAGAAAACAGCTATGGTGACTCCACAATTCTGCGATCGGCGTAGTGGGGAAGGAGGCGCCGTCTAAACAGTTCCCTGATTGGGACCTATTTTGGTTCCAGTCGGGGTACACTTTTTGGTCCAACTTTCTCCAAATTGAAATCTGTTTGCACCGTTGCGATCAGACAGTCAAACTCTATCCAACGATATACTTTTCATAATTATTTGTAATACTTTTTCCGACATCATATTTTTGGGTGGTTGACTTTGACAAAGTCAAAATTGATTTATTTGACCTTTACTTAAAAAGGTACTCATACTAAATTCATTTTATTTATTCTCATGATTTATTTCAATAAATAATTTTAAAGTTTACATCATAAACACATTATTCATTTATTACTGATTTTGGGTTTGTACTCAGGTTCCCAACCAAGATTACACAATTAGTCAACATATAGGATTTATTTCTATGAGATTTATCCAGATTAAGATATTGGATATCAAACACATATTTTTTCGGCCCAAAGTTTAACAATAAATTATTTTTAATCAAAAAAAATTTCATTAATTTATTATTTATTTATTAATAATTCTAGGGTATGTTTTGGGGCGTTACATTTTTTCCCCCCCTTAAAGGAATTTCGTCCTCGAAATTCTTCTAAGGGTCAACGTCTAACATTTCATAGTGATCTCACTTTATCATGACCTTGTCATGTTCATTTGGTTAAACCATAATTACGTCATTATCCAAACGGATACGTATTCTCAAACTGTCGATGTTATCAAACTCGTTCTTTCTTCAAGAGATTAATAGGCAACGCATCCAACAATCCATTTCGTAGGTTCCCGCTCAGATTCAACAACCATAACCTAAGTTCCTTTGCAAGGTATAACATCGTATTTTGGAGCATACTTGACATATTTGTACATCATTTCGTTCATTCACAAATCTCGATTGTATGTCATTAGTCAACAACATTCTTTCATTGAAAGTCCCTTAGCAGCATTTGTAGTTTTGAATCACAATAGATGCAGTGGGAGATTCCGAGGTTGTTTTAATCCATACGTTTTAGCGAAATCATCCAAGTCATTCAAGACATCACATTATTCATATAGTTCAGAATGATTTGTAAGTAACATCAAATGGCTTTTCGTGGTCCAAGATTTTCAAGATATGGGATTTATCATACATTATGAGGAGGTACTACTCGTTGTGCAGTCATTATTGATCTCGTATTTGAAACATTCCTTCGTTCACCTTCGTGATAGTTCTCATTACCGTTAATGAGCCTTCGTAACAATTCACTTTCGAGCTTTGTCTCGTATTTGTTTAATCATATTCGACTTCCTTACTTTGATCAAGATATGATAATGACAGGTTCGTTTTTAGCACTATGGTTAATCTCGTTTCGAGGGAAGAAGAAAAAATATCTTCAGTATGTGATTCAATTCACGAATTTATAAAGTAAGGAATCTTACGAGTTCTTATACCAATATCACAAATAGGTTCGGAATCTTTGCTTGAATGATTCAGCTTGATCCTTGTGGCGTCATTTCATCTCTGGTTGTTGCACATACATTCCCTTAGTAGGGTCATAACGGAGTTTGTTTGGTCAAATGAGATCATCGATAATAATCTTCAGAGATAACGTAATCGCATCAACCATTTTGTGGTTCACAAAGAGAGGCTCAACATAATATTCCAATCAGAATGCTTTTACCGTAGTTCACAGAGTGTAGTTTTCAAAGATCGGTATAACGTATCTTGATGAATTAAGACAAGTTCCCAAGGGTTTAATATTTTGATACAACAATGGAATTCAATCGTTGATCAAGTGGGATTTT